ATAATATTATTATTATCAATGATAATGATTTCATGTGTAATAACTTCGTAACTTCAGAAGGATTTTATTTTCTTAATAAGAAATATCTCACGGAATCAAATGGTCAAATGGACGGTACGGCAGTTTTTGGCCACAGGAGATACATACAGTAATTTTTCATTTGTATTTATAATTCCCCAGTATATAATGTCCCACAAAGAACAAAAATCCACCGCTCACGTTGGAACGCTGCACAGACACAGACAGAATGGCTAATCGAGTTCATGAACACTTGCAAGAGAGCAAAAAGTCTTCCAATTCTTTTTGAATACAATTTATCTCCCAGGAGATACGATTCCTCATCGATACCTTCATCTTCGACATCTTGTCTCCGGAGAGAAGATCGCTCTCCTGAGAGTTTACACGTGTCTCGTGACCGGTTCCGGAAAGTTAGGAGAGAATACTCTCTCCGTATAAACGCGCCTAAAACGAAGTAGTATTTTTGTTCAGGGTTAAAGAATTAAAGCTTTAATTAGTGGTGAAAGTGATCATCACATGTATTAATTCAATGGTATGATTTTAGAATCATTTTTAAACTTTCATTTGTTCTTGTTTCTTTCTCTCCATCCTTGTTTTTTACCATTTGCATTTTCTCTTCTGTGCAGGTGCATATGTTGGATATTGAATGTTTCTCCTTTCTGAACCGTGCCCTAGAAAACGAGATGGCTCCTGTTGTAATCATGGCAACTAATCGAGGTATTACAAGAATTCGTGGCACTAATTACAAATCTCCACATGGTATTCCAATAGATCTACTGGACCGAATGATAATCGTATCAACATCTCCTTATCAAGAAAAGGAACTTAAAGAAATTTTAAAAATAAGGTATGAAATTTTCAAATTGTACTCATGATTGTGGAGTATTTGTAGTCTAAGGTAAATTTTGTGTACCTACTCATTTTCTATAATTTATTCCTTCTTTTCAAATTATGACCTTTAATACAATTACTTACATACAATAGTACATTTCTTTTTTAATTTTCTCACTACTCCTTACCCAGTATAAAGAAAGCATTTTAATGCGGCAGGAAATTTTTGACAGAAAAACTCTTATTTCCGGGCTCTGGTAACACAAAAGTGAATAAATCTTGTCCCTATATGTAGTAAATTACTTGCTTTAACAGGTGTAGTCTGAATGCATTTTTTTCTGGGTTCTTGATACTGAAAAATCTACTGAAAGCAAGATGTCTGTCTGTCCATCTATCTGTGAATAATGCTAGGAACTAAACGGTAAGCAGGATTTTCACCAAAATTGATATTCTCCAATCAATCAGGCTGTTGTCACAGGCCTTGAATTTGAAACAGAAATTTGAATTTTCGGAGGTACTTTACATGAAAAAGGGAAAATTAAAATACTAAACAAAGTCATACCGAACAAAAATTATTAGACACAAATCAGAAAAATTCACAATATCAAAATACAATTAACAGTGCATTTTTCATGAATGATTTACAACCAAATATTAGCATGTTCGGTAAGTAGTACAGTTTCTCAGGGAACTGAAGGGAAAAACTATGTAAATGTGAAAAACAGGTAACTGAAATTGAATATATGAGCCAAGAAAAACTCAATATTTATATTGGCATGCTCCTCCTGGACCTGCTTGTGAAAACTGCTACCAATGTTACTTTTGATTTAATTAGTCAAAGCGCAGTAGAAATTGAATGTGGTATGTGGGGGAGAATTACTATTTGCACAAGTTTTCTGGAGCTCCATTATCATTTCCCAATATTTTAACTAGAAATAGATTTAGATTTATTTATTCAAAAACAGTAAAAACTGTATGTTACGTATGGGGGAGAAAATAATCTACACACGTTTTCTTGAATTGCAGCATCATTTTGACTATAAATAGTTGAAAGATGAGTAAAAGTTGAAGATAAATAAATAAATAAATTTTAAAAAAGGGTGAGATTACTGACGTACGAAAAACTACACATTTTCCTTCCCAAGTTATAGAAAACTTATTTGCAATGGTAAACCAACTGCAGATTTTATTTTCTGCATTGCTAACAAAATAATAACTTGCCCTTACCTCTACTCCTACTGACAAAATTCTGATCGAGATGAGGGTCATTGACCGGGAAGCTGAAGTGCATTATTGGTTACAAACATATTTACCTTTAAAAAAAAAAATATACAATACAAATGTAAACTAGTTCATTATATGTCACTGTTTTGTTAACATAAACATTATTTTTCTTTTTGATGGTCAGTAGTGTCTCTAATTACATAGAAACAGTTATGCAGCAGAAACAATTTTTTTTTTAACTTAAATTTGTGTACGGACTTCAATTGTTTAATGTCATCTGGCAATGCATTGTAAAGTAACGTGTCTGTCGCCAAAGCATGCGCACTTACAAGTATAACACGTCTTATACCCCATAATTATTATTGTGGTCATGAATTCAAGAAGTCATTCTATGTTGGTTTTTTATTCATTTAATTTTGAAGCAAACATTTCTGTCTGCAATTTAAATGTTTTGTCTAGCTTTCTCTGATTCAGCTTGTGCTGTTGCTTAATATTTTGTTTGATTCACCTTGTGGTGTTTCCAGTACATGTAAAAATATGAATTTTTAATACATTTCAGGTGTGAAGAAGAAGATTGTGAGATGACAGATGATGCTCTAACAGTTCTGACACGTATTGCTCTCGAAACATCCTTGCGGTATGCCATCCAATTAATTACTACTGCAAGCCTTGTGAGTCGGAAGAGAAAGAGTACTGAGGTGAATATTTTTCATTTCAAAGATTTTTAATCTACACAAAACAAACATTGATCAACTCAAAAAAGGTGTACTGCTTCATTTTTTTGTCTCTCACTCACTTTCATTAAATGGGATTCACCAGTTCAAGTAAACAAGCTTTAAGAAATGGAAATTTCCAAGTGTGTCCTTTCATACATTAAATCAGTCTCGATTATTCTAAAGGGAAATACTCAAAATAGAAAAAAGAATTCTCATTACTATGATTCATATATAATAATCAATGACATACTTGTCAGGTGTGTTTAATGTAAGAATTTCTGTTTTAGAAAGAGCATTTTCTATTGAATATTTTAAATGGCAACTTTGAATAGTGTAGGTTCCTTTATATATATTTTACATGACACACTTTATATATATTTTAATGGAATTTTTAAGATAGATGGTCTGTTCATGGAATACCATGTTCTTTAGATTTTGATTTTTACTTTATTGTACATGTACGTATATACAGAGTAATGGATGTAGTTCAGAGGAAGTTATGTGAAGCTGTGGAATATAGGTTTTGAAATTTTAATGGAAATACATGTTTTGGAGTCCCCTGATACTGAAAAAGTAATTTAGTTTTTTTTATGAATACAACAAGGTGCTTTGTCTTATGACTGTCAATTTTTGTATTGTTATATTATAGGTTGATATTGATGATGTGAAACGAGTTTACTCCTTATTCTTAGACGAGAACCGCTCCGCTCAGTTTCTGAAAGAATATCAGGATGAGTTCATGTTTAATGAGTTGGGTAAGTACTGCAAAAAAAAGTTACACATGCAATTAAGATTGTGTATTGAAAATTTGCATGTGGGTGGGCATGCACCTTTCCAAATATCCTTGCATTCTTTAGGTTTAAGTGAGTGTTAACTCTGAGATCAGTAATTATCAAAAAAATATTTGAATAATTAATATTGCTGAGTAGTGTAACTGGAACTGTAAGTGGTTCCTTAAGTGGTACAATTAATATGGATATTACAAAAATATATTCTTTATCCACTGAGAGCAAATAGTGAATGCAAACAACCTGGAAGGTGTCCTTCCGCTGTCTGTATCTTGAAAGTTTGCACATCGAGATAAACTTTCTTAGTATCGGAGTAGTAAGATAATATTGCAACATGCATTCTACTAACTTATGAGCCTTGATTGTGAGGGAGGTGGTGGGTGTGAAGGTCTAGCGTGACTGCACAGGGGAGGTTTCATTGCAAGGCTGGAGAGCTTCAATCTGATATTAGTTTAAAAAGTTTAAATCAAATCATTGTCTGATTGGTACATTGTTTGGACTTGAGTTTAGGATCTAGTTCCCTAAAATCAAATAACGTGTAAAGAGTTAAATAATGTCTCGAACATAAAAATAAGAGTTTTAAAAGGTTTCTTAGCCCACCTGCACCCGTCTCATTGCAGTCAACCCTCTACAGCGAAAAACTGTTTTTACTTTCTCCCCTACTCCTTACATAGTAAAGAGAAAGTGTTATTATGTTTCTGGGAAACTGATTCTTTGACAGAAAAATTCTCATTGATGGGCTTTTACAATGAAAAAGTGTTGTTCCTATTGGTAGTAAATTACTTCCTCTTAACACAATATGTACATTGAATCCGCGTTTGATTGGTCCTTCACATTGAAAATTCGATTGACAGCAAAACGTCTGTCCATCTGTGAACCATGCTATCCAAAACCTCCATGCATCTGTAAACAATGCTAGTGGCTAAACTAAGCTGTATATTCACGAAAATTGATATTCCGCAATCAATCAGATTGATGTCACAGTCACTTGAATTTTGATCGAATATTTTCGTTCTTCGGGGTACTTTAAATGAAACCTGAACATTTTCAGAAGTTTTGAAAATATGGCTTCAATATTTTTCTTGAAATCTTTTCTTCTGATAGAACTGGTGTAGGTCGCATTTTCAAATATTGATACTTGGACCTCATGCCCCCCCCTTGTGGGTCAGGAATATAAAAATTGTGTTGCACTGTAGATGGTATTGTAATATGATATTCGAAGTTTGATGTTCTATCATGCAGAAAGAGTTCTATCATATCTCGAAATACACAAATCAATGAGATGATTCTCGTTTTATTTATTTCACAATATGCAAAACAATTAGTTAATATCTCTCACTTATATTTATACTTCACAAAAGATGGTAAGATTTATGATAATTATTTACAGTTATATTGTATTCATGTATATTTCTTGTTTCAGAAGATGAATCAATGGAGGTTTCAGCTGGGTGATTGTGTGTCGTGAAAGCAGACTTTACTCCATCAAATTACGTTTTGTGTTTTGTGCTCATTTTCAATACACACTTTTATTTTGTGTTTGTTATTTAATGAATTGCAAGCATTAAATTATTGTATGTGGTGTAATTCAATATCAAATTTGCTTTGCATTGTTGTTAATGTAATGCAAGCAATAATTACAAAAACTTAAGTGATTATGTGTATAGACAGTAGTAATTTGCAATAAAAATGTGAAGCTGTGTGCACATAATAGTTTTAGGAAATGAAAATGGAGATAATAATTAATTCCAAATGCAGTCTCATTGGAATGGAAAATTATTGATCATGTCTTCATAAATTGAAGAATATCATTTTTATTCTGTAAAAAGAATTGCACCAACATTCACAAGGAACAGTTAATGGATCTTTTTTTAATGTAGATGATGTATTTTGTGCATAAAGTAAAAGTTTAATTGTTTCGTACACATTCCTACATAAGGATTGAAGCACCTAGGGTAAGCATGAACTCCTTTACGAAAAGTCAGGTGCAGCCAGTGTTGCTACTCTTCTCACTTCCCTCACTTCACTTCTCACCTTTCACTATCTCACCTTTCCTGTAGTTGCTGAAGTGAAGACATTTATCAACAACTTTTTGTTCTTCAAAGAATTTCAGTGCATCACAACAACAAACGGAAACTGATAACACAAGGCTGCTGGCGCGGTGGCCTGTACTGCAAATAGCTAGTGAATGTCCAACTCGTGCTCGTTGCTTTCATCTTAAATAAAAATTGAATGTTTGTTTAGAATTTATAAAGGGTATTAAGAATATTAAGTTAACAGATATTTTTGTTTAAGGAAGAAATGGTTTTTATTTGACAATCCTCTGTAGTTTAAAATATTATCAATGTTGTGTTGAACCATTAACTCAGGGAATCGTGAGCGAACAGCTCGGTCACTTTCTTCCCATCAAATATGCTTATTTTATCTGAATAATTTTTCTATCCACTTGACAGCTGGTGGTGGGGTAAAACTATGTTGCCTCTTACTCATTCATATAGCATTCTTGCGTCAGATCACAACAACAGCAGCAGCAGTAGCAAAAAAATAAATTGAGAGCACAGATGATTCATTTTTCATTTTTTTCTTCATAAGCATCTCATTGGTAATTCTGCAGTGAATTCACAATTTGAAGCCTCTGATTGGATAAAGGAACTTCCTCTCCCCTGTCAGCTGCTAGCTGTTGAGTAGGCATAAATATTATTCAGACAATAGTAACACATTTGGGTTTTTCACTGTAATGGAAGAACTGACAAAAACTAAAACTTACCAGAGGTCTGCCATGTAACTTTCCTGTTATTGCCTCCTCAAACAATATGTGTATCGAAACTTCGTGCAGTAGTTGCAAGATTGAACTAGAAGTAGTGAAGCCCTAGAAGTAGTGGAGTTGATGTGTCTCCCTGGAGCTCTAAGGGAAATATAGTGCTCCAGAAAGGTCTCTCCACTTGCTGGTGCAACAGAAATTATGTTGGTAGCTCGAGCTGTAGCATGAAATCGTAATTAGCTTACTCATCACAATTGTAATAGATGCTGCTAGTGTTGTTCCCTTCACTTGTTTCCCAGTGATCTAGTTGCTACCAAAATTAATACAAAATGCAGGAGGCCCTGATTCAGTTCACTGTGGAGACACTTTCTTGGCACATTGTATTAGAAGGATGGAGAGATGCAGATAACTTCTCTGGCATGGCAATGGGGAGTTAAAGCGCCGTATGACACCACATACAATGAGCATTCAAGGGAGAGGCCACCTTCAGTACGATTGAGTATATCTAAACAGGAACAGGGAGAGTGGTAGCACTCGTCAAGATACTTGCTGCGCATTGTATGACAGATGCATCCGTTTTGAGAACATTATTACACCTCTTTTTTTTTTTGCCTGCCAAACATTGAAATATTTTAAATAAATACATCTTGTTAAAATTTGTATACTTTTTTGCAACCCTTTGTATTTCCTTTAGTAGCCCTTGCAAATGTCACCTTTGAATCATTCCACCTAAAAGCACACACTCTCAAAACATCACAATTTTTTAGAGACTTGAAACTTTTTTTATGAGGTGTGGGTTGGAAATAGGTGGCTTATTTTTTTTTTGTTAGTTTTTCTTCTTCTTCGTCTAATCTCGCACCGTTGAGAAATATTACCAATTATTTTTTCTGAAGGGTCATGCTGTTAAAAATTTTTTGCACAAATATAGTTTCCTTTAGAGTTATTAGGGTAATAGGCAGTTATAATATGGCTTCCAAAACTTAATAAACAGTATGCAGTATAACTCTTAGTCGATGAGTTATTGCAGAGGTTGAATAATTTCGATCAAAATGTCAGCTACATCGGCGAACGTAACACAAAAGACGCAAGTAATAATATGAACGATTCAAACTGGAACGAGAAGGAAAATGATAGAACGGGTGGAGACAATTTTTATGAGGAAAAGAAAGGTCAAGGGCAAATCAAATGGTTCTCGTAAATGAGGGAATGATAGTGGAGGGAATAAATATTTTTCAAAAAGGAAGAACGAAACGAAACGTTCGACGTGAGCGCTATCCTGGTGAACTAGATTTCGTTTGGGATGGAATGGTGGGAGATGCCAAACAAAGTATTGGAAGGGACAAGAAGAGTTTTCTCGTTTGGGAAGGTATTCACAATAGACAATTTTTGGTAGCAAGAAACGGTAGTCTTAAAGAGAAGGAAAAAAAATTAAATGAAGAGAAGCAGTGTTCGGTATTATGAGATATTTATTTTGTTATGGAAGTTGATGCGAAGTGAATACCGAGAGTAGCGTTGCGGTGTTTCACGAATATTTTTTACGTTCAATGCAGAAGGAAAAATAATATTAAAGGAATACCGACGCGGGAGTTGAAAGTGCAAGTTGAAAATAGATTAGCGGAAGGGCAGAAGCTTACAAGTGTAACTGGAGTTCGTGGTGGGCGAAGTGGCGATTCGTGCAGCGGCTAGAGTTGTGGAGAGATCCTTCCGAACCGTTTTCTCGAAAGTGGGCTGTTTGCGGGCATGTAAGCAGGCGCGGATGTGGGGAACACGTGATACGATTCGTTTCGCTGCATGCTGTTGACCTGTACAATCGTCCTTCGGAAGTCGCATCTCATGAAGGGTCGGAGATCAAATAAGCGTGATGCTTGTGGCGGCGACGACTTTGAAGAGCAACCCTCCGCAATCGTCGAAGACACCATGGAGATCAATGATCCGGAAGTCAGAAGATAATAAGGCATACAAGTATATAAATTAATAGAAGATACCATTTTGGAAAAAAATATTGAAGCAAAGCTATGAATACAAAACTTATTCCGTGTCATCACTAACATAAGAGCATCAGGTGTGTAAAACGAGTTGAAGTTGGAAAAGAAGATCAATGTTAAAAATAACATAACACTGCGATCATATGGGAGAAGAAGAACAAAAGTTACGGATGACAAATAAATTGAGTATTGTGATGGCTCAAGACCATGTCCACCAGACGGTACAAAGAAATGCTATCAAAACGAAGATCAGGAAGACACATTACGAAGCAATTGTAGGGAGAATTTAAGGAGGTGTTGCCGTAGAAAAAGAGCAGAAAGAGTATTTTGAAAAGGACTACCAGGTTGGTGGGAAAATATTGGTGAAGGTGCCTCAAGTGTCATTATCGGATCAAAAATTATTCCACATTTTTTCCTCTGTATCGTGGCCCTTTTGCCATTAAAAGTATATCTGATAAAAACACCGTAAAAGTAGAGAGTGAAAAAGGCGGTGAAACTAGTAAATACAATTTCAGGAACATAAAACCCTATGAGGAGGTAATGGAGTAAAAATATTCAGAAAAGAGCTAGGATGAATGACTAAATGCTGTATACTCGTACTTTAGATAAATTTAAATAAAGCTGTGAGGTGTGGTGGAAACTTGTAAGAATATTATTGTACGAAATTGTATAGTAAATTCAAATGGACGCTTTTTGACATCAGTGCCAAGCGATTAGGGTAAGTTAAATTGAAGGGAAAATGGACGCCTACAACGTCAGTGCCAAGCGATTAGGATAAGTTCTTAGATTTAATTGAGTAAAGTTGTAAAAGAAGAAACAAGATAGTTACAGCGTTAGTAATAAGACAGTGCGCGAAAGAAACGTGAATTGGGGTATGAAAATGACAAGAAGTCGAATACGAAGAGAAATAGTGATGCGATAGTGTGGTCAGGATTTGTTGGGTATAATTTTGTTGTGTGAGGTTTTTGCGGAATGTAACACTGACTAGACGTCGCAAGAGTAGAAAGTCAATGAATCGGTAAATTGTTGTCGAGGCTGAAGGGAGAAGTCAAGGTCACTACTACAGAATGTGATTGCTGTAAATTCTTTAAAGGGGACGTTTTGGCTTTAAGTGACAGAAATAGCAAGGCCAGGTTATGTTAAGATATTAAGTTAACATTAAGATTGAAGAAAAATTGATGTATGTTTGTAGAATTTCGCAGGCTATCATACAGGAACCGTAGAGAAATATAAAGATATATTGTTGATCAGTAAAATTAATTAAATAGAAATTTGAAATAAATTAAGTGTGGCAGCCGTCACTTACTGTCGCTGGCAATTCATAAGAAATATTTGTAAATTGATCAATTTATCAGAAACACTAGTGACAAACGTGCTAACGACAATTAAATTGTTTATCACCCGAATACTCGTACGAGCGGTATTTTCAGGCCCACGAAGGCAAGCATAGTACGTAAGTATGCTGACGCTCAGAAATTAAATTAAAACCAGGGCTAGCCATTCCATTAAATTAAAAATATTGGACAATTGTAAATATCAAAGAAATAAGATTTACTTCTATGGCAGACCCAATACGAGGAAGTAAACTATAGTAAATAGTTTAAAGTGAAGTATTAAAAGAGGATAAAATATTTAAATGGATGGAGAGATTGACATCAATTTAGAACGTCACACTTGGGGGGGGGGTCAAGTTATCTGTGACGACGGCGGGAGGGGGTAAAAAAATGCCAAAAAAGCGTGATGTACTTTAACGCAGAGTTGTGCCATTTTACTTCTACGTGTAGCCTACATGACTCTTTTTACATGTAGACTACGTAGACAATGTAATCTGTGTAGATTTTTTTCACTACAAATAACTCAAAAAAATTGATAAGTAGTAAGAGTAAAAGCATGTTGAAATGTAATATAAAAATTTTTTTCGATTCGGTCAAACAAAAGGTTTGTTCCAGCAAACAATCACGGACAGTTTACGTACTCTCACTCTGCGCATGCGCGAGTGCAGTCACTAGTCGGAAACGAGAAGATTAGACACTACGTACATATAAAATCCAAAACTTATTTTCTATTTTATCTTAATAGAGGGGATAACATTGTTTTCAATACATGAAAGAACATTATATTGCATTTTGAAGTTACGAAGATAATCCACACTTTAATGGTAATTCACGTTTTGTTGGTAAATTTGCTTAACATTTTATTTATTTTGATTTGAGATATACAGTATGCTGTTTAATATTCACTACGTCACTAACAACATAACATTTGGAGAAATATAAATTTTATAGATACAATAAGTTTCAACTGCAAAAATAATTAAGGGTTTATGGGAGTATGCCCTCTCAATCTGGCCTCTAGTAGACCTTTAAAATAATCGTATTTCTTCTTAAGGGTTGCAACTTCCACTTTAAGTTCGTTGTAAGGACCAAATTCATTACGAAATTGGGTTTTTGCTTCCTGTAACGAATCTGTCAGTTTGGCCATCTCTTCCTCATGTTCTCTCCGCAGTTCTGTCAATTTCGAGTCTGCCCTGTTTGAATATAAACAGAAAAGATTAATTCAAGTCGTGAGGCTAGGATTACAATTGAAATCAAAAGCATTATTTTATGTCGTTTAATATCGCAACTTTTTTGTTGCTAATATACCACCTAGTTTCACAGATAGAAAAATATCAAGGTCATTTAAGAAATTGCATTGTTTTACATTACCTGTTGCTTTGAAGTTGAATAAAGCAATTAAGAAAGAATAAAACTCAATTCTAACAAATTGAGATATTATATTTGAAATAAGTGACAAAATAAAATAACGAAGTTATCAAAACCCAAAGACTATTGTACCAAACAACACATCGTTCGCAATTACTGTTGCCTGAAAGTAGAGCAAACTGCTTTCCAACATAAATAATCCTTTTATTTAAACATTCTTCGGAACACCAATATGCGACACACGCTTAATTGTGTATGTTTACAATTATATGTTTATGATCCTTCTGCAAAGCTGGCTAGTGACAACGCACGAGTTTGTATAGAGCGCTATTGCCTTCTACCGGCCTGTTGGCCGTGCGCAGTCCATCTCTGCGCAATTCGCCCTGAAGAAGGGCGAAGAATGGCGGCCGACAAGTGTGCGCCTGGGCCTGTGTCTCCCAGACAGCCAAGCTTCCCCGTTTGCGACAACACAAGAATTTCAGTATTTCCCCTCACTGGCTTCCATCCATCCAACACTTCCTTCAATGGCTTACATCTTATTTCGCAGAAAACCGCAGACGGCCTTTGTCCGCGGTTTTAGTGTACTAAGAATCGAAAACAAGTATAATCGGCAACCGATTATATATAACCTCGTTATGAAGCCTCGTTTGCCGATCCGAGCCCGGTTAGCGCGTATGCTTGCTGCAGAGGCCGTGATTGGTCTGCTTGTACTTAGGCGTCAAAAGGTGTGCAAAGCAGAGCACCTTCGCGTCGCGAGGCCATGCTCCATCCTGAGCCGGGACGTACGGGATCTGTGTCTCTACGCGGGTGCTTTTGATCTGCATGAAGTGTCTTATTAAACACAATCTCGCGCACAGCGGCCTGGCAGGACAAGAAATTGTGGAAGAAGGGAAGCAGGAGTGACAGGGGTCATGGAATAATGAGAGTCAGCGGTAAATTATCGATAAATATTGTAATCAAACCATATTGGAAGGCGGCAACATATGATTCTACCTACCGTTTGTCATTATAACTACAGTCAGTTGACCGCTGCCGCTAAAGAATGCTTACGTCGACAATTATCGCGTTCGTACCAGGAAAGTGAATAGTTGATGTTAGAAAGTGCTTTCAGAAAATAATTTCTTACTCACGTGAACTTGGCGATTTGTAGAAGAATCAAAAATTGTTGGAAGGGAAGTACTTCAACAAATCATTTGATACCAATTGCTTGTAGTTTTAAATATTCTATAAAAGTTTATGAGAAATTCTGATAAAAATGTGCTCGAAGGGTATTGGTGGTCAGTAATTCTCGATATCGCAGTGTGACTGCCATTGCTCCAAACAAAATAATTTATTGATCTGAATGAGTTTAAATGCCCCCTGGTGCTATTTATATATGTAGCAAGAATGGACGGATGAAGAAATCGTCGAGAGACTTAAAAAGCCTTACTTGACCAACTGTCCAGGACCTAGCGCTGCTGATCTTGGACAACCTTGCGAGACACGCTGCCTAGGTGAAAATAGGTTTGAAGAACTAATGTGTTCATTTCGCTTCATATTTATTTAATGACTCTCATCATAATAAATTAGTTTCCTGAATGTTCATATGTGTGTAATAAATATATTTAATATTATTCAGTGAAAGTAACTATGTATTCTATGTAATTATTATTATTATTATTATTATTATTATTATTATTATTATTATTATTGTGGATACTTGAGCACGTGTGCACGTGCACACATGGAGTCCCACTGGAAGCTCTCGAAGGTGAGAATAACCGCGTAAGAAGAGATTGCCCACCTGGCGACTTTCTAGCGCCTGCCAGCGACGCGTGAGTCTTAAGCCTGATTTGTACGCTGCCACCTGAGGTTGCCAGCAACTGGCCAGTGGAAACAGGCAACCTGTAACCACCTTGTTGCACGTGACTGGCAAGACCTTAGCACCAGTCTCTGGCGATGCCAGCTGAACAACACCTCCTGACTCTCAACTCGTGCTTTATACTTGCATTAACGTAAGCTTCGCCTTGCTTTATACTTGCATTAACGTAGCACAAGCTTTCGTGAATGACGGAAGAACAAACTGACAAGTTTGACCAGTTATATACAGAATCGAAAAAATTGTGGGTTATTTTTTACCAAAATATAAAAACCACGAATGCTGACAATTGCAAATAAAATGGCGATTGATAACTTCTCCAAGACTGATTAAGTGAATAAGATAAAATGTTTATGGAACATTTGCCATGTACAATAGCTTACGCGACAAATAGCAACACTTCAGGCAGCACTTCACAAAGAACATTAACTAAGTACAGTGAGATAAATATCTCCTCTTGCATGCCAAGTCGCATAGAGCGCCAGCGCTGTGTAGATGCTAGCAAACCCGTAACTAGCACGCCTTCAGACACCCGCCAGACAGCGGTTAAATGAGTGAAGGCACCCTGCGAGGGGGTCAGCACAGTTGGTGGGAAGCTGTAACCAAAGCAGGGCGAGCATGGACCGCGATCCCTTCTCCCACTCAGAGGGGGAAAAAAACTCGCATCCTTGGGTTCACATGTCACAAGCCCCGAGGTAGGTGGTGGGGTTAGGTTCATCTGACTCAATTCCACAAGGCCAATAGCAAGTGAATCGGCGAGTGCAGAAACCACTTTAGTCACAAAAAAAAGTTTTGGAAGGGAAGGTGCAGATTTGAGTGCAAATCAAAACGTTGGTGAGATTATTAGTTCAAAAGATACGGGACGTTTTAGCCACGTTATTCATCACTACTCTGTTCGAGGGCACTCATTTCTTCCACGATCAAGATTTCGGAACTATTAACCGGAGAATTCATATACCTTATGGAGATGAGGTGTGTGCTCAGTCCAGTGACAACTTTTTTGTATACCAGCATTATAAAAGAACCTTTTCTGTTGCGAGAAATCGTTCATAATCTGGCATTTTACGGCACATATAATGACGTATTAGATTGTCACGAATGATTGCGTCACACACATTCAGCCAATCGTAGCGAGAGAAGTAGGTAGAGGCAGGTAGAGCTGAACGGAACAGCCGACCACCGTTTACTCGCACGTTGTCAAATACCCGAGTCGTTGTTTCGCAGGGAAGTTGTTTCGCAAAATTACGTTTGATTCTCTTATAAATACATAATGCTGTTATACAAAAAATATAGAATGCAACTCGTTTATAAAGTTGCTTTATTACATTCGTACAAATTTGAAAACTCGCTCGTAAAGTCGCTTGTTTTCAAAACGTACTCATACAATAAAGCCTAACATTATAAACTAATTGCGTCCACTATAACTCTGCAGAAAAAGGAATAATCCCAGCTAGCAGCTGCTGAAACGTACTTCCCGGAACATAGATATTGCTTTTCCGTGAAGTCATGCCTACCCATCACGGAAAGTTTCAAAAATTTAAAAAAATGAAGGCATTGAGAATATGATTGTCCATATTTCTGATCACTATAGAGTTTTTTTATGGTGAACTATTTACCTGGCCAAACAGTAGTGCCCATGACGATGATTCAACGATTGAAATTGATTTATTATCAGTTTTATACTTTTTTAAATTTATGCTGTATAATTATTTTGCAATCCTTACTTTTTTAGAATAATACGGATAAATAAAATCTTTTAAATTTTTTCCAAGTTTTCATCTGCTTCTGAAAACCAGTTGAGTGATGAAATAGCGTACGTACTAATTAAATTTTACATTTTTCTGAGCTCAATTTAAATGGAACTAGGTAATTTTTGCATGAGAGCAACATTATTGCATGTTTTGACAGGGAGGGGGAAATTGTTTAATGATTTGAAATTTTTGAGAAGTTATGTCGTTTTTCTCTCTTCTGGAAAATTTGATAATCTGGAGTAAGTGGTTTCTGCTCTCACCCAGTCAAATATATTTGCATGTAACTAGACCAACGCGTGCTTGTTCGTATTTTATGCGCTGCCGTACAGTTTATCCGATGGCGATAAAAAGTGTCAACTTCTTGATTGCACTTGCGCGAAGAATATAGGGAGATATGTGTGTCGCACATGGACGTAAAATCGGGGCGTTGCAACTCGTTGGTGCTTTATGCGCCTTAGGCTCCCTTGAACGCAACCCTCCGTACCCTCGAGTATTAAGCGCCCTCACTGCGTATTCTACCCCTGCGATTGTCAAATATCGGCATATTCCTTGAACGTTATCTCGATCAAGTAAATTCAATTTCTCCAAGAGACTAATAATTTCGATTGAAAACGAGCTCAAGAAACTAAATGTTCGAATAGGATCTACAATGGCCTCCCTAAGAGCTGGTATGTCTGAGCCTGGGTTCGCTCACATTACAAATATAATACACCGAGAAGAAATCATACTCTGCCTAATGACATTAAAATTTACTGAAATCTTTATAGTAATGAAGTTATTAATAGAAATAAACATGTATGACTCTCTAAGTAGATCTATGCTGAATCTCTAAGATCCCTGATCTATCTGAAATTCTCTAAGTAAATTTACTTATTGGTTATGTAAAATGAATTTCTTCTTAAAGTTCAAAATTTAAAAAAATGTACTTCAACACTTGGCACAACATGTAACCGGCAGTAAGGCAGGGTATTCGCCTTGGATTAGTGTAAATAAATGTTTTTATAATATTGGAGGTAGACCTGCTTTTGACTAATTTTTGTGCTTTTTTGTTATAAGAGAAAAGAAACTCACATCTTTTCAGGCAACCGTGTACATGCTGAAAATACGTGACATCCTGTGAAACAATTCTCCTTTTTGTAGAACGTAATGTATAATTTATTTTTCCATTTATTATTATTATTATTATTATTATTATTATTATTATTATTATTATTATTATTATTATTACAAAAAGCAATTAAGCATTGATTCGCACTTTAAATTGTGCTTAGTAACTCAAGAAAGTGACAAGTGACTGAATTTATTTTTGTTTTAAAATACATTATGGTTGTTCGCTGAATGCTGTGTATTTCAAGTTACAATTAACAATGTATAAGTTACAGATATTCAATTTTCAGATATTCAATTTTATTAAATCTAAGAAATAAATACAAAATTTAAAAATGTATCGTAGCGAATGCATATCCAAACTTCAGGGAGGACATTTTAATAATAGGGTACTTGACCACCGTGCCCAAACGAGGACAGAATAACTCATGAGAAGGTTTTCATCTATTCAAATATTTGCAGAGCAGAGCATAAAACGTTTGTTAATAATAATTGTTAATAACATAAATTAATAATCACGTGACCAGTAGTGTGTGTCGTACATTGCAATAGTGAAACATTGCAGAATTCACTAGTTTGCAAATATATTTGAACATAGACGTGTTATGGTAATGTAAAATAATTTTTGGAACAGACTAATTCCCATCAACGTCCTATTGGCAAATGGTAGACAACAAAACATTTTTTAGGTACGCAGTAGTGTACATCCGTACTGAAAAAAAAAACACTTTTGGTGTAAAGTTAGAGTTAATTCATCTGCTCTCTCACTGATAACTGAAGATCGAGATCGAGCACATAAATCTTGTGGTTATAAATAAATAAAAATAAACTTCATTAATTTCACCTGGCATTTAAAATAAGCTTTCTTTGGCAGAAATCAAAAATAATTTCCCCGCTATTAGAATCATTGATTCCTGTGATCTTAGAATTTTTAATGTATGTTCTGGGATTGAAAGCATACGTGAGACATTTTGTGTACATTTAACGCATACGGAGACATACGATGACATTTTCCTACTGTTTTTAGTTTATAAAATACTAGTGGACCCGACAATGCTTCTCTATGGCAATGTATTACTTACTATTACTTACCACACATTACTGGTCATTTGATTGTTAATTACATGGAGGTGGATTTTTATGACCTAAAACATCGCCAAAAATGCTCAATTAAATGCTCTTGAAATGGTTTTAAAGTGCCCTAAAAGCTAAGAAAAATGACGTTCCATTCAAACCAGTTCGAATGAGCAACTGAAGTTGTTAGATACATTACTGATATAATGGAGACTCCTTATATTCGTTCAAGGAGCATTCGAACTTTCGGCTTGGTCTGTTCTATCTGACAGGAAATCTCTCAGTCTTTTTTTATCGCAAAATCGGCTGAACCGACAATGGCTTTGAGAGGCAGCAGAGGATTACTTAGTACTCACGACGGCTGACATAAGGCCTTCAATAAATGAGCGACGAAATCGAAAACGCTACTCACGGATTCTGTGGTGAACGTTTGTTGCCTCTCGTAAACATTGTTTGAAGCACGTACTATTAAAATGTTATTAAAAGCGATGAAATCAGCAAAAATGCATTAAAAATGACACATAAAAAAGGGTCATATTATTGTTTCATAACATAAATTTAATTTCTATTCTAAACGGCATTGTTCTAAAACGAAAAAAAAGATATTTCATTAAAATCCGACCCCTATTAAGAACGTTCTTCGCTGCACTGTGCAAAAATTCGAATTTATGAAAGACTTTCTCGCAAATATGTGTCCCTGGTTTGGACATGGTTGGCAAGTATCCTATTATATACTGTCTGCTCTATTTTTAAACGTTCTACTTAAAATTTGGGCACGCGTTCGCTAGGCCAATATCTTGGAGAAATTTGCTTTACTTGTCCGAGATTCAAGTTACAATTCGGCTGATATTTCACAATCGCAAGGACAGAATACTTGCGCGGCGGGTTGCATAGAGGTCAGGGGCGCTTGAGTCATAAACGAAAAAATCATCAACACCCCCACGTGTACGATTTAATTAAAATCACTCTTTAAAAACTCCCATCACTAATAAGAACAAAGTGAAAATTTCAGAAAAATCGGTCAAGTATTTTTTGCGTATATGTGCGACACAAATACGCACATTCCCTTTTATTTATCTACAAAAAAATAAATTAATTTACGTTTGAATTGCAGACGCAGCATGATCCTTGAGTGTTTGAAGCTTTCTTTTTTCTGATTCAGAAGCTTTTTGCGCTTGAGATAATTTGGCTTTCAGCCTCGCCTCAATTCCTTCTCGGTCTTTCAGGCCTATTTCGAACAACCGGTGTCTCCTGGAAAATATGTAAGGTATGTGGGCATTTGCGGTAGTTAAATGACTACACAAACAAGTACTTTCTTGAACAATTGAGAAAATATGATTTAAATAGAGATGTTCAGAAATTCTTGTACAATTAGCGTGAATCTTCGTGAATTTAAAGGTATGAGGTTAAAGGTTTTGCTGGTCGAATTATTTAACTGCGCTCCGTGAAGTCATGGACAATACTCCACACGAGACACCACGAATACATGGACGGGTTGCCGTCTGAGAACCTACTAATGACGCCGAGCCCTTGGCTGAAGGGTTAATTGCCTACGACGCAGCGAGACACGTACTTTGCAGCCGGATTGTCATTCGAGAAGCCGTACTCCCAATCACCCGTGTGGTCCGAACAGTGGGCGTGATACAATTTTCTTTGGAGCTGGTAGCTTAGTCTGCTGCGAAGACGTTTATTCCTAAATTTTAGGGCACCGACAACGGACAACAATGTGGTCGTCAAAAAGCTAATTTTTTATTAATTTTTTTCTCGAATAGAGAAGGGTGCTTCAACATTTGGCACTTCTTATATTTGTTTAACTCTGTGAATTTTTGAAAACTGAAAAACGTTACAAATAATACAAGAATTTGTATACTGTAGTGGTACAACTAGTTAATAAATTATAAATATTTCTCAGTTATACTTACCCCTTAACTGAATTTAATTCTTTCTGAGTTTCTTCATATCTCTGTTGATTGGCTACACAAGCTTTACATAAGGCAGTATCCATGTAATCTTCGTTTTCATCCGCACGTTCTGTCTCTGCCACGAGTCTGGGTATCACTCTTTCGTATTCGTCCATTAACTGCCTGAAATTTTCGTAAGTTGTTTAAAGAACAGTGATGCATTCCCCTTTTTAATTATTGTTTTACTTTCTTACTACGTAAGAAATATTGTAATCGTGCGTCAGGAATTGACGATTTTTCGACGGAAATACTCTTATTGTCGAGCCCTGGAAACGGAAAATTAGTTAAATCTTGTTTCAATATAATGGATTGTTAGTGATTCCGGGTGCGTCAGCTAATAAGGTCAGCTAATAACTCCTGTAAATGTAGTGCATGTTTTGTCCTCTAGGTCACAGTGATCTTCCCCCGCTGGATGGTGAGATCCTTCACCGACGTACCGTCTGCTAACAGTGTTCCCCTCAATCAGGTATCTGCCACAAGAGGGGCACCGCCCTAGCTAGGACAAGTTCTAAGCTCCCGACCGGTCTCCCAGCCATCTCAAGCTAACAGCGCTCAAAAACCAATTTCAACCAAAATGTATCCAAAAGTTTGGGCTAATTTCAGGCAAATTAAATGCCATATTCCCGAATTTCAGACTCTTTTGAATTTCTAAAAACCTGTGCGCTGCTAGATTTAGACTAAAGCTAATAATAGACTAAGCTAAGGATAATTTCAGGCTCTAGGAAAAAAATAGTCCCACATTTTTATTCCAAAAAATCAGTGATGTACAAAGATAAACAATTAACATTGGTTTTTATTGGCGAATAAACATAAAAATTTTAAAAATCTTAGAAAATTTGAAAAACCCTACCCAAAACTTTAAGGCTCTAGTTAAAAATTATTCCCACATATTTATTTTAAAAATCAGGGCTGCATAAAAAGAAACAATTAACATTGGTTCTTATGGGCGAATAAACTTTCGAATAAATTTAGGAATTGCTATGAGACAGTTTACGAACATTTTACATTTTATTCTTTACGACAATATTTTTAATATATTTTATTTTTATTTATTTATTTCCTTTGCACACTGAAGCGGACTCACAGACTTTTCTTAATGATTCCCCCTTCCCATTGCCAGTTAATAAGTCATAATGAGTTATTGCGTCCAACATCTTGAGAGTAAATTACTTGGCGTGATTTATTTCGCAATTCTTCCTCACAAGGCAAGTACTAGGATCCGACATTCTTGCACGAGTGCAGCAGAATGAAACTGTGTAGTAAAGCAAATGGAAAACGCAACTATTACTTATCATACTGCTAGAAAATTATGTTAACAGTTTCTTTTTGTTCAGCACTGGTTTTTAAAATATGATTAAAAAAACGTACTAGAGCCTCAAATTAGTTTTACATTTTGTCCAGGGATTCATATTTCTTTAGGGATTTTTTCTGTTCATTTACCTTTAAGAAGTTTTTGATTTGATTGTATTTGTACAACCCTCATTTTTGGAACAAAAATTATATTATTTATTAATATTATTTTCCTAGAGCGTAAAAAATTAGCTTAAATTTTGGGTACGGTTTTGGAATTTTCCCAAGGTTTTTTGATTTTGGTGTTTATTCGTCCATAAGAACCAATGTTAATTGTTTCCTTTTGTACAGCCCTGATTTTTTAATAAAAATGCGGGAATAATTTTTTCATTGAGCCTCAAATTACCCTTAAATCTTGGGTAGAATTGTTTAGAATTTTTCTAAGATTGTTTTGATTTTAGTGTGTATTCTTCCTAATTTTTGGAATGAAAGTGCAAAAATATTTTTTTCCTGAAGCCTCAAATTAGTTTTAAATTTATTAGTTATAAATAGTTTCATTAGTTATAAATAGAGTTATTAGTTAAATTATTAGTTATTATATAGTTAAAAATTATTTTCAGAATTTTTTGTTGATTTATAGTTGAACTATAGGTGTAAGCTGCTAGCTTTAGTCTAAAGCTAGCAGCGTCCACGATTTTGGGAAACCCAAAAAGGCCTAAAATTCGGGAATAGAGCATTTTATTAGCTTCAAATTAGCCTTAAAGTTTGGATACAGTTTGGTTGAAGTTGGTTTTTGGGCGCTGCTATTTTAGACTAGTTTAGTCTCCCGGCATATCAACGCCGGACAAAAGCACTCTATTATCGCTGGCTCTGGCAGGCGCGAAGGTGGCGCGCGATAGTTCAAAATGCCGCCTTCGCAGCAACTGCGTGCCGCGTTGCATCAAAATTTCCCAGTTTCACCGCTACTCAGAAGCTGCATTTCAGATCTTTTATTGAGCGCTAATATGAACACGCAAATATTCATCTGTATTAATGCTTTAAGTTAGTTGTGCTCTAATTATACATTATACATGTTTACTATTAATTTATTATTACAAATCTTTTTACATAATAGTAGGAAACATATTTAAAATATACATCAATAAATTATTTTAATCAATAGCCATCTTGGGCTTTTGGCAAAATCGAAAGTATTTATAGTTTCATTTATATCTATAGTAAATGGAAATATTCTTTCTTTTTGAGAGTTAATTTGAGTGTTACAACCCATGATTTCGGCCTGAAACAGTTTAATTGCTTTATAAGTAAATAAAGTTTAAAAGCAAATTATACGTGAAAGAGGATTTATTAATAAGGGATATTTACAGAAACGCTGCACATTATCCCGCGCTTTTTTTAAAAACTGAACTAAAATTCACCGATTTATTAATCTATGTTAATCATGTCTCAGTTTAATAAAACTGTTGTTAGCTTCTTCTCAAAATACATAAACACGTAAATCTTTTATGATATCAATTTGAAGATTCTCAAAACGAAATGCATATTAAATATTATTTTTTTAATTTGTTCCATGATTGGTTTGCCCCCTCTTGCTGTCGCTCCTCGAAGAGCATTTTAAAAATTTAACTTCCACTTCAACACTCAAAACCAAACGCGTCAAATAGCCGTGAGCCGTCAGCGAAATGCGTCAAGTAATGGAATATGAATTAAATATAAAAAAGCTTACTTGTAAAATAATAAATGGATTCTAGGCAGCATCGTAACACCCTTGTTTGCAAATAATAAACGAAAACATTAAGACGAAAGACAATTGCAAATCGTTGCAGATGTTTCGCTCACGCATTGCGATGTTTCATACACTGTGATAAAAATTAGCTGTTTCGCACACGGTAAACAAGCCGAAAACCGCGTTTCGCGCACGACGGGTTAGAAAATAATTCTGATTTTTAATGAATTAATTAATTAATAACAAATCAACGGTACAATAGGAGGGCACTTTTCTCGCATCATTTGAAATGGTCACAATCTTCAATATTACAATTATTTAGGAAGGCACAATACAAAATTTTGACTTTCGCAATTTCCAAAAATACTGAAAGTTTAGGAACCATTAGAAAATTATTATTCAAACATGATATTGTAAAGAGCAAGGTTTCAAATATTTCCTTAGATAAAAGCAATCGTAAATCTTCCCTTTAAGAACATATTTAAGCTTAGTTTAAATAGTTACTAGAAGTAAAATCTTTTCGGGAGAAATTCTCTGAAGTTTCCGAAACATCACATCTGTTTCTTCGACCTCTGAGCAATGCAGCTCACCTGAGCGTTTCCCTTTCCAGCCTTCGTTCTTCCAGTTGCCTTTTAAAATGTTCTTCATCGTGCCACATCATTTTGATAGCGAATGTGGAAACTTGTTCAAGGCACTGAAGAATTTCACTCTGAAATTGAGCCATCAAAGAATTCAAAATAATGATAAAATATCGATGTATAGTATGCAATTGTGGTAAGATAAACTGAACGCCTGTTTATTGTTGGACACTTTATTAGTAGTGAATAGAGGATTTACTCTAAGAAGGCACCAATTTGACAGGTCGGGAAATAAATGAATTCCATGCAAGGCGATGACATTGTAATGATGAAGGCTTTTACAAATGAGCTAACTGTAAACGAACGCACTGACAAAATGAGTTTATGGACTTGCAGTAATGTTGCCAGCAACCGCCAATCAGCTATCAAAACGATCCTTTCTTATAAACTTATCGGTAACTTTCTTGTAAACGTATCGGTTAGTAAGAAGATAACGAGAAAACGAATGTTTGATATTAGCATTGTTTCTTCCAGTCTCAAGCATTATCGACCTGGTTATAATTTAGAATAAGTTTATTAATTGTAGTCCCCGCTAGTCTTATTAATTATGGGCCCCGCTAATAATACTGAAATATTGAACTACGTAAAGAAAATGTATACGAAAATAATTGATGAGATTTTCAATAAAAACATATGAAATATTTTTGAATTCTTAAGAAATAATTGTTAAAAGAATAGTAGCCCATATTCATAGGGGCGTGCTATCACCTGTCTGATAATGTGTGAAGTGTCAAAAAGTCCATAGACTTTATTAAATTTAATAAGTCACATTATACAATACACGGGTTTAAAGCGAACGCAACAGAGACAGTTATAATTGGGTTATTTCCCATAGAAATCATTACTACATACAGAGCTACACTCAATGACTTGGATGTATGATTGAAAACGATTTAAGCACACGCCCGAAACGATAACTATAGGCCATCCAAATCTTTGGATACCTCACCAAAACCTTAACCCTAGGTTACAAAGGTCTAGCCTGCCAAACGACGCAACTAGTGTCGAAAGTTTTGCCCACCCCTTTCCCTCCCTCCCCGTTAATAAAACTCTGCGTACCTTCATTGTGTGACTAGCCAGTGAAATACGCGTAACCTTGCGCGCGTTATTATTTCCGATGTGCGCGATTTTAACACGCGTCATACAGTAGAGTACGCTTTGTAGTTACTTCAGAGTTATTTTTGGCGCTATATTGACTAATATTGTAAATAATGAGTACAAAAGTCTTGTCTTGTAGCATTTAAGTTTTGTTCTGAACATTTAACAATCATAATGGGACGAAGGCGATCATAAACGGGTCGCATGACAAGGAGACATTTCTGCGGACGATTCTGAAAAGCAGTGTATGGACAGCATCAAACACGTGTGTGATGTGAAGGCCAAAGTCATTTAGATGTATCTACAAAAACGTTTAAAATGTATTTTGTAACTCCATAAAATCAATCCATTAATTTGGTGTTTCATTGTAAAAATGAGTTTTTCTTAATTTTTACCCAAAGTAGTCTGTCAGACTACGCTTTTGTAATAATGCTTGATACACGTTGCCTTTGTAATCTTGAGTTAAAGATCACAAGGCATTTGATACATCAATTCCTTTGGATGAACCTGCAATAGTGTTTTCAAGCAGCAAACCATCTTTTTCCGCGCCCAGACTGGAATTCAGGCTTTCCGAATTAACTCGCTGTGCGCCTTCCTTTTACGCCATGAAAACGGCACGACTTGGGCCGAAACTTATAAATCCAATATTGCCAATACAGGACTTTATAAAATTCAAGGAGATCAACGAATGCAAGAAAATTCAGTGTATCATTGCACAATATTATTCTCGTAATGTACACATAAGAAATACCTGTTTTGCGCAAATGAAGTCTTTTGGGCTCAATTGTGCTGCAAAATTGAGTGAATTCTTGACGAATCTCCTCCAATAATAATACCTTCCGAGTAGATGTGTTCAAGAAGTTTCACAAAAATATCACGAGAAATTGATGACTATTATTTCTCCAGTGAAAACATTTTATGAAACCGGTTACTTGCAACAATGGAAGGTCATGGAGATGATACTGTAAAATTCGAGCAATGATGTACCTACTCACCGCTAGATGCAGGACTGTTGCTTTGGCGGTAAGGTCATGTATGGCGCCTTTTTGCATAAGTGTTGATTTTCTTGGGGAAAGTGGTGTGTGGTTGGGAGTTTTTACATTTTTTACATGTTGAATTATGTAACCCACGTAAGTTTTTATAATTCTGACATTCTTGAGTCACAAGATCACAATTGCTGTTGCGTCTGTAACTTGATGTTCCTTGAAAACTTTGATTTTTCGAAAATTGTAATAGCTCAACTTGTTGACTTCCTGCAACTAAAATATTCAAAATAGATGTTTTGCCCTCAAAGAAATCTGTTCCTTCTTGATAGATTATGAAATAAGGTCATATACAAATTTCGAAAACTTTTGGTGTAATTTTACGTGAGGGTACGGGCAGAAAATTCGTTCTGTTTCAGCGCCTCTAGTTGAGGCGGAAGTGAGCATACTCGCTTATCTCCTGTGACGTCATCGAGTGCAGAGATTCCGCTCGCAAGGTTAGGCCGGGAGATCACTGCAGTCCCTCTGACTGGCCGGTCCCGGCGGTGGCAGGATTAACGACACTAGTTTGTTTGCTACGTCGAGTTCAGTCGCTGTCCGGGGGAGAATCCTAGCTGCCGACTGCTTTCATTGGTAGGTTTACGTGGTTTCTCCGATCAACGCCAGGCGAATGCCGAAGCGGTCGCGCGCGATCTTTCATACCACTTGCTTGCCCTATCCTCTCTCCTTACACACACTCACACTAACAGTGCCACACATGTCGACAGCCCAGTCGGGAGCAAAGTGTGTGTCCCGGCTGGGCCGGTGGGAGATACCTGGTTGGGGGGAAACACCGCTAGACGCCGGATCTCGCCACATAGCGGGGGAAGACCACAGCCACCTCTCGAGCGAGATACCTGCACTCCACCTACAGGACTGATGACGTGAAGAGCGGAAGAGCATGAAAGGACGGTCAACATTTACTGCATAAGGCGCCCGGGCGGGCGAGGCCGTTAATAATTCTGCAGTGGCGGATTTGGGGGAGGGGAGGGCGGAACACATACATTTTACCTCTTCGAAATATTTCTTCAGCGACTTATCGGGATTTTAATCCTTGTCTAAGAAACTTTTACGTTGATAACGAAAGATACAATTGTGATCACGCGAAAATAATAGATGTCCAGCAAACAAAACAGAAATTTACGAAATCAGATGAAATGGTCGGTATTCTCAGCTTAGTTAATAGGCGCGGACTCTGCGGAACAAAAGCCTCACGCACCTCCCTCCAAAGCATCCATGGCCTCCTGATACTCCACACATTCCCGAAACATCTTTCACATAATCGGGCATTTCAACTTAATTAGTCCTAAAAATGGCGGCAGTGGTATGCACAAATTAAACGAGTCAATTGATTGCAAGTCCATAGATTTGTTTTTCTGGGGAAATCGCCGCCCTAGACCCCATGACGATCAGCAGCAACTGTAATTGTGATAAATACCATCTGAACGCCGGGTAATCGGCTTGTGTTGTGCGTTGAAAACTGAAAGAAAACTAATTTGGGAACTAACGCATTATCAGTTTCGGGTGATGCAAATTAACAAATTCATTTTAAAATAACAAAAATTAATGACCATAATTTTTATTATTGCAATTAATTAAATCACAATTAACATAATTCATTACAAAACAATAACAATTAAATTAATAAAAACAAACTTTCTTTTTGCAAGCAAACTTTTTTAATATAAATATTTAGGGAAGAAAGAAGTAACATGAATTTTAATTTTGTGAAACTTTCAAAATTAATCTCATTCTCGTGTCATAAAGCAAAACTGCACATGTTTTTTTGCATAAAACATTCTTGACACATATGTTCGTATTATCTCTACTTTCAACTCTAGGTTCAACCAATTTATCACTTTATTACTGTCGTTAAGGGACGGACATTTTAATACAGTTTGTAATACAGACTGATATGGTGATATATCGATAAATCCCTATTTATAAGATTTGTAATAAATCAATATCTCAGAACATTTTTATGTATTTCCAGTCATTTTGATCAGGCAGTCATCATAAATTGCTGCAAGTTCAATATTTTCTCTTGTTTTTTGTTGTATCATTCCTTCTAGTGATGCAATTTGAAGATCCAATTTTTTTGCAAGACCTTTCAGCCTAGTGGATTCACCTTGGTAATTCTGCCTGATGATATTCAGCTCTTGATTAGCCCTTGAACCAAGATTAAAATACATGAAATGAATGAGTGGGCGAAAACTAGAACGGTATAATTGACATTTTACAAGTCTGAGAAAACCCGTTTTATTTTAGGCTGTATTTTTCAGTGGCAGAGTATTTTCGTGGTTTTAATGAACAATTAAAAATGTTCTATATTTAATGAATAAAAAAAGCAACACGACTTTAAACTTTACTTTGAATATATATTGAATTAAATAAAAAGATTTCTCAGAATTTATAAAATATCACTTGTACCGTTCTGGTTTTCACCCATTCAAATTTTCAATAATGCATAATTCTAAAAGCCTTGGAGATGTATTTGAACTTTTATAATGAACATATTAACTTACTTGTCTATTTGTTCGTTTGCGTGCTTTTCTAATTCAAGAAACGCATTTTCACTTTTCGTGAGATTCATTTGATTTCTGCTAATTTGCATTTTCAGCTCACTCAGTTGTCTTTCCAGAGCAGCTTTACATTGCTTCTTTGATTCATAAGTCCTGCACATATTAAATTCTTATTATTGTCCGCCATTTTTTCCCAGGGCTTATTCCAGCGAGCAGCCGGTTATCCTTTACGCCCCGATGGGAGCATATTCGACCCTCCCTCTCTCCCTCCCTCTCTTCCTCCCTCCCCCTCCATTTCTTCGAACCACTTCGAACACCCGGGTTATACAGAGAATTAACACTTCTACAATAGTCATAAGCGTCTAACGATAGCAATTGATTTGATAATTCGTTGATACGTTGTACAAATCCAATGATTGATATGAAAAATTGTTTAAAAGTTTAAAATTTCTAAATCACATACAATTTCAACTATTTTATCTTGATTAGTAGTATTTGCGATTTGAATTGTTTCGAATGGCTTGCTATATTTTTTCTGTAATTATCAATCATTTCCTTCAATTGTCACACCAGCTAACGTGTCCACCGAGGAGTTCTGGCTTTACGCCCCCAATTAGTTACTACGGCTATTCAGTTACGACATGCAATGTATATTTCCATAATAGTAAAAGTATATGGTTGTTTCAGTTCTAGCATTGCGGAGCTGAGTAATTAAGAAAATGTGAAAAAATATTTTTTCGGGAGACGAAAGGAAACAGGCGAGAAGACAATGACGCTTCTCGGAATATACTACATACATACATGTATACACACATATATACACATACGCATATGCATATATATATATATATATATATATATATATATATATATATATATATAGTGTGTGTGAGCGCGTGTGTGAGCGTGTGTGTGTATATATACATTTATACACACACTCACATACAGCCCTGTGTGGTTGCCGGGTTTTTTTGTAGAATAGCGCCACGGGACTGCCTGTCGTAAAAGGCGACTAAAAGGAGCAGCTGTTCGCTGTCCTCTCCTCTTAATATCCTTACTTTCCCACCTAGTTTTTCTCCCATCCCACAAGATCCAATAAGTGGACTG